TTAAGACAGGGTTTCACCAAGTTGTTGAGTTGCCCTAGGCTGACCTTCAATTTGGGATCCTCCTGCTTCAGCATCCCAGACTGCTTGAATTACAGGTGTACACCACCTGGCTTCCTTTCTAGAGCAGTTGTTTGAAGTCACAGGTTGATAAAATAAACATGAATCATGTCTTATGTATTGTTTCTCTGAATTTAAATCCAGATTGAAAATGGGCCAGATTATGTTTTACTTAAATTATTCTACCCAATAGTGAAGGAGATGTGGCAGGAAGATTACAAGTGTGAGTTCCATTTGGACAGTTTATCAAGATCCTGTCTCAAGCTGGGCATGGTGGCACATGCCCATAATCCCAGCACTGGGGAGGCTGAGGCAAGAGGATCCTGGTGAGTTCAAGGCCAGCCTGCACTGCATAGCAAGACCTTGTCTCAAAAAAAAAAAAAAAAGCCTGTCTCAAAATAATATAAAATAATTGATAAATAGGTAGGGGTAGGGGTGTAGCTCAGTGGTAAAGTGCCCCTGTGTTTGATCTCTAAGTGCTGGAAAAAACTTTTACCTTCCATTCAACTTGACATCAGTTACCTCTGTCTTCCATCTGTCTGTCCTTCAGAGAATGAAGAATGGCTTTTTTTCCCCTGCTAGCTGCTCTGTAAGAGAAGCTTTAACCAAAAGAAATATTGTGGTAAGTACAGTACTGTGTTCCCACAATCAGCCCTCCTTTTTACTTCCCTTTTTTCCTGACTTCTAGCTTCATCAGATCTCTCTTCACCAAGGGCCTTGTCTGCCCTCCCAACATAATACTGAACCAGTCTCATGCCCTTTGTCTTTCTCTACCAGTTTACTATACCAGCTTTTCCTACTGTGGCCTAGGCCTGATGCTTACCCTATTTGCCTCATGCTGCCTTCCCTGGGGCAACAGGTCAGACTGCCTTTTGTCAGTTTCTGATCTGCTCATCCCTTTGTTCTTCTTGTTATGTGGTATCTAAATTGCTGTCCTGGAGAGAGGAATGGAGAATTCCAAAAGGAGCATTTTTGTGTCACCATCCTCTATCCAGGAAGGCAAGTTTAACTATCACTAAAGTGGAAGAAGTGGGGGTAAACAGGCCTGAAATTAAAACAGAGAGTAAGGTGATCTACTGTCAGGGCAGTTGACTGGTGGGGGAGCAGAGCTCTGCAGAAAGGAGAGGCAGGAGGAACTGTGTGGCTGTGGGACAGGATCAGCAAGCATTAGGTTCGTGAGGTGGCAGAGGATGAAGGAAAATTTAGAAAGGATGGAAATTATTGAAGGAATACGGTGCCTACTACCTGGACTCTTTCAGCTTGCTCTTTATAACAGGAATGACTGTCATGTTCAGAATGCTGAAGTACTGCTGTGCGGATGTTTTCATTTGCTGAAACATTACCTTATTATCATTTCTGTTATTTTTAAACTTGTTTTTATGTAGTATAGCTATTATAGATTAAGGATGTTTCTCAGGGGAAGCAAAAGAATATATCATAAATATTTTATTTCTTTAAAATTAGTGCTTAAGTTGGGTGTGGTGTTGCTTATCCATAATCCCAGCTACTTGGGAGGCTGGGGCAAGAACAAGTTCTAGCTCAGCAGGAGTATAATAAACAGGATTAGGGATTTAGCTCAGTGGTGGAGTCCTTCCCTAGCATAACTGAGGCTATGCGTTCAATCCCTAGTACAAAACAAACAAAAAGTATCCAAATTTGTTCCCAAGAAATTTGAATTTGAAAAGTCTCCTAACTTCCTGGCTAGGCCTTTTTCCATTTTACCATTGTTTCCTGTAGGAAGATCTTCTCTTTTAGTTCTATACATTATAAAGACAGTTCAGTGTTGCTATAAAGAATATATGTATAGCACTTACAAATACAAATCCACTGCATCATAAATTTGACCTTAGACTAGTTCTTTCTAATAAAACATTTAAATATTTAATTTTTGATAATTTTGCCTGCCATAGAATGTAGATGATTTAAAATGAATATTTGGACCAAATTAGGTTGTAGTTTGTTACATAAAGAGTCTAGTAGGAGCCAAATATAGTCTGGTTTTCGTTGATTTTTTTTTTTTCTTTCAAATTTTTCATTGAGCAAGAGGCACTCAAAATCATACGGTCATGGCATATTTGTCAGCATTTCTAAGGTTATTTGTGTGAAGGTTCACAGAGAGTTCTTGTGAACTTTAATAATTGCAGCCCTTTTGTGAAAATGAGTCAAGAGCATCTCAGAGTTATATATGGAATTGGTGGGGGAAGTCATTTATGGTGAAGGGATTTTTAGGTCTGATTTAGTTTTAGAACTTTTTAAGAACACCAGTGATCAGAAAACAGTTTTCTTCTTCCTTTTTTTTCCTCAGTCTTTCTTTTCATTAATCCTTTAGCAAAAACCAGTGAAAAAATGGGTAAAGGCAAGTAGACACTCTTGAAGGAGTAAGGTGAAATAATGGCTGTACATAGCATATATATAAAGTAAATTAACTTTTGCATGTCTTTTAGAAACTGTGTTGCGTTACTTTTTGCCGGGGGTGGGGAGTGTCATGGTCTCGCTCTGCAATTCAGGATGATCTTGAACCCACTGTGTAGCCCAGACTGGCCTAACTTGCAGCGATCTTTTGCCCCAGCCTCTGGAGTGCTGGGGTTATAGGAGTGTGCCACCACGCCCAGCCCTTTAGCATTCTTGACTGGAAAAGATCTATTTTAGTTTTCTTTGTTGTTGGTTGGTTTCTTTTTTGCAGGGGTGGGGATCCAACCCAAGACCTCCCACAAACTAGTCAGTGCTGTATAATTGAACTATTTTAGTAATATGTCTTACTGTTTATAATGATTTTGTGCTTGTTAGTGATTGGTTTAAAATGCCATGTTTCTGTTGTTTGCCTCTTACTGTCCCAAAAACCTTTCATTCTCCCCCTTATAGACAGACTTACTTTTGTAATAGAAAGCTTTCAGAACTTTGCTTTGTAACTTTTTAATTGTTTGTGAGATAAAGAGAATCCCACAAATAATAGCCTCCTTGCAGTTTATGAATGCTTAATGCTTAGACTTAGCTTTGGGACTTTGCTTGCTTTCTCTTTCTTGAGAAAGAGATAAATTTGAAGATAAAATTTGAAGACGTGTTCACCAGATCTCCCCTCAGGTCAGCATAATTTATAATTTTGTTCCTTGTCATCCTTCATCTTGTTCATTGTATCCATTTATTCCAGATATGAAGCCTCCTTCCTTTAATTACCTGTGGCATCTACTTCACCCTAAAGTTGATGAGTGGTGGGAGGGCTAGACCTATATGTTGTGTAGACATGGATAGTAGTTACTTGTGACTTGCCTAAAACCTTAGGATTTACCTGTATTCCAGGAACAGAATGAGTGTTCTACTACGACATGCCCTTACTCCGGGTATAAGACATTGTGATTTTATCCCGAACCTTGCTTATAACTGAGAACTGTATTTGAACTGAGGCATTCATTGTAGCTCTGGAATTCGTGCTATATGATTTTATAATCTCAGAGATAGTATCACCATATCCATTACCTGTGTACAGATGACTCATACCTCCATGCCTAGTCCCAACTTTCTCCTGAACTTTAAATCTTTATTCCAACTATTCTTTTTTTTTAATAGTATAGGCTATTTATTAAGGGTTATAAAAATATCCAGAAAGATAAATAAATGTGATATGATGATATTTGTCCTAATACAAAGCACTTTCTTTCACCACACTGTTCCCTTTCACAATGGCCTTCAAATCACAGGAGGCAATTGATGCCATGCCTTTCTTCTTCTTTTATTATGGGCTGTGGGGTTTCTGAATCAGAATCCTGCCCTCAGTCTTCTCATTTATAAATCAAATTCATTTTCAATCCATTGTATAGAGAGAGTGTATTTTTTTCTGTTCCATGAAGAGGACTTCTTTTTTCACAGTTGGACCAGAATGCAAAAGAGTTAGTTTCTCCTGGAGTCGGCCTCTCCTGGCATTGAAGGTAATACCTGTCCCGGCCTGGCTTACCATTTTCATCAGAAGGATTTTTGACTTGCTCTTGGCAAGGGCAACAGTGGACAGGAATGTGGCTACCGCACCCCTGGAACCTCCTTGAGGCTCTCTCTCTCTCTTTTTTTTTTTTAAATTCCAACTATTCTTTTGGTTTCTTTGCTATACTTTCCTTGCTACTAGTTCACTAGTGATCTTGAGCTTATCATATTTTCCCATAATATTTCTTCCACTACTTCTTCCTATTTGTTTTAATGACATCATCTTTGTTGTGGTTATGGGGGTACTGAAACTGAACCCATACCTTTGAACTACATCCCCAGCCCTTTTTAAATGTCTTATTTTGCCTTAGGGTCTCACTAAGTCACTGAGTTGCCCAGGCTAGACTTGAACTTTTGATCCTTCTGCCTCAGCCTCCCAGAGTGCTGGGATTGCAGGCGTGTTCCGCCGCACCTGGCTAACATCTTCATTATTTAAGATTCAAAATTTCAGAGATCTTTCAACACCCTTGATACTTCACATAATTACTGTGGCATGTGTGCTTTGCTTCTGCATAATTTCAGACATCTTTCTTTTCTTGCCAGAATGTTTGGGTCCGTATTTTCAGCATGTAATTCTCTAAAGATTCCTTCTATTTAATTTTCAGCATTGTGCTACTGCCACCAGCATAATCTTCCAAAAGCATACCTCCAGTCCTGTCACTTTTCTGACCAAAGACTTTTGGACTTGCCCTATACCTTCAAAGGTCTCCACCATAGGACTCCAGCTGTTTCTGTAGCTGTATCTCCCACTGTTTTCTCAAGTGAACCCTTCCCAAAATATGCTGTCCTTTTTTTTATTGCTGTGCTCCTGTTCTGTTTCTTCCTTGAGAGCAGAAGTTAAGTATCTTCTTTCACCCCTAGCATAGGTCTTTGTTCTTAGGTGCACAGTGCATTTTATTGACTCAGATGATGACTCCCTTTCCCTTATGAGGATACACATTTCAGATTAACCATTATTTTTGTTATTTTAGGCTTGATCGTCTTTTTATCTTACTGGATACTGGCACTACTCCAGTTACAAGAAAAGCTGCTGCTCAGCAACTTGGAGAAGTGGTGAAGCTTCATCCTCATGAATTAAATAATCTGTTATCTAAAGTAAGAACTCCTTTTTTCTTAGTGCAATACAATCTTGTACAGAATTATCCTTAAGTAGGAAAACAAAAGTTAAGGTACAAATCATCTTATTTTAAGTAACCATTTGTGATCTCTAAATTCAATTAAATATCTTAATAATTTTGCAAATATCCTTAAAATTTTGCTGTTTCTTTTTCTTTTGTCACAAAATTTATAGTATTTTTTAAAATCAAGTTTAGTTGTTTAAGGGATTTGACAATACATAATCTTTGCTTCTGTCACAAATTTGAATCTGACCCAATTTGGTAATGAACAAAGTTGTTAATCTAGTTTGTTAGTAGCCTAACTTGTTCTTAATGGCCAATAATTATATTGTACTTGGTAGTTTTCAAATGAACATGAACTCATGGGCAATGATTAAAATATATAAGAAGCTAGTTATCCTATTACATTCTTAGGTATTAGCCCCCTGAAAGTAGAAACTTTCTGCTTGGTGGATCAATGTTTTCAGTCCTAATCCACAGCTTTCCCTAAGCAGTGGCTATATTTTTATTGAACTTTGTGGGCTTGTTGAAGTTTACCTATATGGTAGTATTGGCAAATACCATGTGTTTAAATCCTGGTGTGCAGTGTAAATGCAAGAGGAGGCAGGGAGGTTGGAGTGGTGGAAGGTAGACAGAGGGTAGGGATGGGGAAAATATGATTACCTAGATATTGGAAACTCTCCTAATCTAACCTGTTTCTTCCATTTTCACTTGTTCCTCCCCAAGTGTAGAAGTTCTAAGTCCTTTTTCAACATATGTATACAAATTTGCATTGTATAGTTGCAACCATAAGGTCTAATAGTGACTCCCTTTTATGTAACAACACATTCCTATTTTTGATATCAGACTTTTCTGACCAATATATAGATAATGAAATGGTGATTGGATAACTACAGGCTCCACATTCTCAAAGTAGAGAAGGATACATATCAAACAGTATTATATTCATCTGTAAGGTGGGAGATAGAGAGGTGTATGCATTTCTCCTTATCCTAAAGGAAGAAATGCAGGGCTGAAAGAGTGAAACAAAACAGAGAAGGACTAATCTGTGTAGAACTGAGAAAGGGTTTCTAGTTTTCAAGTGAAGTCTTATCTCTTACCTCAGACTGCAGCACGGCACATTGACTGCCCTCAGATCATTCAGAAAGAGGCAGTTTATCTTTAACACCCTCTTCCTTCTTTTTTCTGCCTTCAGTATTTTCCTATTGTGTCTTGGTCTTGTGCTTTAAGAAGGATTATTGAAATATAATTTATCAGAAGTGTACAATTCAGTGGTATTTGGTATATTACCATGTGTGCAACAGCTGTCACCATAATCAAAATGTAAAACATTTTTATCATTTCAGAACGAAACCTCATAACTATTAGCATAACTATTTTTCGTTACTCTGTGTTGTGAACTATGCCATCAACATTGTCTGACACATTTGTGTCTTTCTACAATGTCAGGATTTATTGACTAACAATGAATTTATTCACTACATCGATTTTGTTAGCTTTATCTGACCTTGCAAGCACTCAAGATTTCACTCAGTAGCCAGTCAGCCAGGCAATCCCAGGTTTTTATTCCAATTTTTTTTTTTTTTTTTTTGTCTTTTTGAGACAGGGTCTCGCTATGCAGTTCAGGCTGGCCTTGAGCTCACTTTGTAGCCCAGGCTGGTCTCAAACTTGCAACAATCCTCCTACCTCAGCCTCCCGAGTGCTGGGATTACATTATTCCAATTTTTTTTTTTTTTTTTTTGAGACAGGGTCTTGCTATGTAGTTCAGGCTGGTCTTGAACTCACTTTGTAGCCCAGGCTGGCCTTGATCTCGTGGCACTCCTTCTGCCTCAGCCTCCAAAGTGCTAGGATTATAGCTGTGCACCACGTCCAGCTTTTATGCCAGTTTTAATTATTGATACTATAACACTCAAGTCACACATCACAGAATAATATACAGATTATAGAACTGCATAGAAAGAGTTAACAAGATTTAAAGAGACAGGACTGAAAGCAGAGGTATAGAGCCCATCAGAGATGTGAAAAGTCACCTTAGGTGGCCAGATAAGATACAGACCTGGCAGAGCTTCTTTGAGGCGTGGAGCTTGTTGAGAGTGCTGAGTTGGTTTAAACTGGACAGCAGGCAGTTTGAGTGGACCAGTCAGGCAGGCAGGGAGATTGAGCTGAGCTGAGCTGAGCTGAGCTGAGCTGAGCTGAGACCAAGGGACAGAAAACAGGAAATTGTTGCCTGTTAACCTCAGGACCTGTAACCTCAGGTGGTCAGTATATGTTACTTGCATACTCCAGTGTTGAGTACTCCTTCTTTTACATAATCCCTGTGAGAAGGTTGCATCATTCTTTTCTTTGGTGTGTTTGATAATAAGCTTGTAAAGGTAAAAAGCCCTTTAAAAATTAAGATTTTTTTCTTTTGTTTTAGTTATAGGCTACTTCTCCTAGCCTCCTCATGCTGAATGCAAACTGGTACCACACTCCAAGCCTGGTACCTAGAATGATTTAATACTTCTATCCCTCTGGTCCAACACTTGGCTGGATCTGACGTATCGAAATTTCCTGGCATTTGTTTTTAATCTCTTCTATAAATTGGAGTGCTTCTATGTGTTGGGAGGTGGGGGGCAGGGATCAGATTAGCAGCTTTTCCCAGTTTGGCCAAATTATAAATAAGCTCATTTTTCCATTTTCATGGGCTTTTCTCAGACTTGGTTTTGGGCAGGCAAATGTACCTAGTCACCCAATAGTCAGAGCCTAGATTTGGAGCTGATGGAGGTCCAGCTGGCAAACAAGCTTGTGGGCCTGTTTTTCTCTGATATAACCGAGATCTCAGGTGGATATCCATGTGTCCCTGACGTAATTTGATTAAGTTTACAGGTGGTAATTTTTATTAGCATGATTAACTTGTCAGTTGATGCCTATGATTATGCTGTGCAGTCGGGGGTTGTTCTTTTTGATAAGTTCGGTGTGTTCAATATCTGGTGGTTATCTCTTTATTCAGACAAGTTACCAAGTCATTCTGCCTCAACATTTGTGCTCAAAATGGAACAAATTGTTGCTTTATAAAATGGAGTTGTTCACACAGCCAGAAAGTTTCTATATAGCATGAAGTACCTTATAGCAAGGCACAGCCTTCTCTATATACCCACTCTTCTGTACCCAGGTTTAGGCAAGCATTCAACTGTGTGTAGATGTGCCTTTTCTGAATATTTTATATAAAACAAATCAATGTGCAACATCTTGTGACTGGTTTCCTTCACTTAAAATGTATTCATATTTTGCATGTATCATTATACTACTGTATGGATATACGGTACATAAACAACATACCACATCTTATCTGTTCATCAGTTGGTGGAAATTTGGGTTGTTTCCACTTTTTGATTATTGTGAAAAATACTGCTATGAAAATTCATGTACAAATTTTTTGTGAGGTGGTATGAGAGTTTTCTGTTGCTATAAGTGAATGCTAGAAATTGGGTAATTTATAAAGAATAAAGGTTTATTTAGCTCACAGTTCTGGAGGTTTGGAAATTTCAAGATTAGGAGGCCACATTTGGTAAAGACTTCCTTGCTGCCTTCTCCAGAGTCCCCAGTTATTGCAGGGCATCACATGGCAAAAGGGGACTATAAAGAGAGAGCTATAAACTGGGTATTATAACAGACACTCTCTCCATGTAATCCATTAATCTATGAGGGCCCTCATGACTTAATTACTTCTTAGAGGTCTCACCTGGTCTCTATCCCACAGTGGAGACTGCATTTCAACATGAGTTTTAGTGAAGATTTTCAAACTGTAGCAGTGTGTTTTTATTTTCTTTGGTATACCTGTGAGTATTGCCAGACTAACATGGACACTATGTTTAACTTTATGGGAAACTACCAGACTTGTTTTCCAAAGTGGTTCCATCTGAATATTTTATATAAAATATAAAATAATTCCCAGCAGTAATGTAGGAGGGCTCAGATTTCTCCACATCCTTATCAACACTTCTTATTACCTGACTTTTTGACCAAAGCCAATGTAGTGGGTGTGAAATGGTTTGGATTTGCATTTGTCTGATGACTAGTAACAATTTCAGGCATCTTTTCATGTGTTGACTAGCTATTCCTATATATTCTTTGTAAAATGCCTATTCAGACATTTTGATTGCATATTTTTCCCTCTCTCCCCTCCCCATTGTGCATGTGCGTGTGCACTGAGGATGAAACGCCCATGGTAGATAAACATTCTACCACTGAGCTATACTCCAGACCAAATAATTCTAATTTTCTAATAGAAAAAGATGCTTCAGTCAGACATAAACTGAAATATATTAAAAATAGCAAATTGACAAAATCAATTCTATGTTCTATAAAATTGCTAAGTTAGAAAAAGATAAGGAATTCAGTGGCAAAGTGAACAATGGTTATGAATGAGTATTTTATAGAAAAAAATCTATAAGTGGACAATTAATTTCAAACAGTGCCCGACTCGCTGTTTTTTTCGCTGTGCCATAGATGGAACCTAGAGCCTCCTGTGTGCTGGGCTTGTCCTCTCTTACCAAGCTACAACTGCAGCCCTTTTTGGCCTTCGCAACCTCTTTTGTAATTAAAGTAGTACAGATCAAAACTATGATATTATTTGTGCTTATCAAAAACAGGAAAATTCCAAACATCTGATGATAATACTGAATCCTAGCAAGGATATGGGACTATTTATTTTTTTAGTTAGATTATTTACCCTTTTTTGCAATATGTTGTAAGAGGTCCTTATGTGTTCTAGGTACAACATTACTATCAGATATATGACATACATATATTTTTTCCTGTTTTGGGGGTTGTCTTCATATATGTTGACGGTGTCCTGTGAAAGATAAGTTTTTAATGTTGATTAGGTCATTTATCTCTCCCTCTTTTAAAAATCATTTATGTTCTTGGTGTCATGTTTAAGAAATCATTGCCTGACCCAAAGTCATGAAGATTTACCCATGTTTTAAGAGTTTAATAGTTTTAATTCTCAGTTTTAGGCCTTTGGTCCACTTTCGAGGTAATTTTGTGAATGGGTAAAGTAGGCGTTTAACATTATTCTGTATGTGTGTGTGTACACATGTTTTGTTTTGAGAATAAGGTATTAGAGTAGTTCATACTGGTGTGGACCTCAGTATGTAGCCTTGAACTGCCATTGTACTGCCTCAGCCACTCCAGAGCTGGGATTACAGGCATGCACCACCATGCTTGGCTAACATTATTTTATATGTGGTTATCCAAATTTCCCAGCAACATTTGTTGAAGAGAATATTGTTTCCTTTTTGAGTTGTCCTGGCATTCTTGTTAAAAATCAGTTGACCATAGACACAAATGTTATTTCTGGATTCTTAATTCTATTTCATTGGTCTGTATGTCTGTCATTTTGCCAGTAGCACAGTCTTGATTACTATTGCTTTATAGTTAGGTTTTTGTTTGTTTGTTTTTTTGGTCTTTTTGAGACAGAGTATCTCTGTGCAGTTCAGGCTGGCCTTGAGCTCACTTTGTAGCCCAGGCTGGCCTCAAACTCGCAACAATCCTCCTGCGCCTCAGCCTCCTGAGTGCTGGGATTACAGGCGTGTGCTACCATGCCTGGCTATAGTAAGTTTTGAAGTGAAAAAAAGTGTGAGTTAATCAACTTTATTATTGTTTTTCAAGGTTTGTTTTTTTTTTTTTTGAAACAGGGTCTTTCTATATAATTCCAGGCTAGTCTCCAGCTCGAGGCGATCCTCCTGCCTCAGCCTCCCAAGTGCTGAGATTGCAAGCATGTGCCACCATGCCCAGCAACCAGTTGGAATTTTAGTAGGAATTGCATTCAATCTATAAGTCAGTTTAGGAGATATTACTATCTTAAAAATATTAAGCCTATTGATCCATGAATAGGAAGTGTCTTAATTTAGATTTTTAATTCCTTTCAATGGTGTTATAATGTTTTGTAGTTTTTGTTGTAAAAGTGAAGTCTTAACACTTGTTTTTGTTATATTAATACTTCTACTTTTTGATCACAAATAGATGTATTTTCTTAATTTCATTTGAGATTGTTTAATATTTAGAAATTCATCTGAGTTTTGTTTTCTTTTGTGTTTTGGGTTTTTTTTTTTTTGTACCAGGAAGTGAACTCAGAATCTCATGCTTGCCAGGCAGGCACTGCACTGCTGAGCTGTATCTTTGGCCCTGTGTGCTTTGGTTTTGCTATGTAGTCCAGGCTGGCCTTGAACTTGTGGATCCTCCTGCCTCACCCTCCTAAGTGCTGGGATGACAGGCATGTCCCACCATGCCCGGCTGCTAAATAGAGTTGTGCTTGACCTTGTCACTTTTGTACATTTAATCTTGTAACATTGCTGATCTTATTCTTTCTAGTAACTTTCGAAACTTTCTTTTTTTGAAGTTCTGAGGATTAAACCCGGGGCCTTGTGGATGCTAGGCAAGAGCTCTATCACTGAGCTGACTGCAGCTTTCCTTTTGTAACTTTAAAGCTTTTTTCTGATAACTCTTGGGTAACATGTAACTGCACAACTCTGCAGTTAAGTATTGAGATTTTCTGTGTTCCTGTTGGCTTGAACCATAAATGGTACATGCATGACTATCCATTTGGCAGCCTATACTAGTGGTGGTACAAATGGATCTAATCACCTTATTGGTCTTTTTAATAAAAAGCAGCCCAGTGGAACAGTCATGCATGTAGCACAACCAGTGGTTCAAGCCATGCTGGAAGCAAGGCATATAAATTATGGCCCTGGGGCTGGGGATATAGCTCAGTGGCATAAGTGCCTGCCTGGCAAGTGCAAGGTCGTGAGTTCGATCCCCGGTACCACAAAAAACAAAACAAAACAAAAAAGCAAGAAAATAAATGATGGCCCTGTCATGAACATGTTAATAACACCTACTTTGTTTTATATTAGTATGTTAAATAGCTATGTTATTCTTAAAGTACTCTCAGGTGTTCTTTAATTAAAAGTTTATTTCCCTTTTTTAAGATGGTAGTGGTATTTTGTGTGAGTGATAAAATCTTAATTCTGAGGTATCTTATGTACAGAAGACTGCTAAACTATAAATTAATAAAAAGTAAATTTGTCTCTGTTCTTTCTGCCTTGAGCAAAAAGTACTTTTTGATACATAACTTTTTTTTATAATTTTTTAAGGTATTGATATATTTAAGGAGTGCAAATTGGGATACCCGGATTGCAGCAGGACAAGCTGTTGAAGCTATAGTGAAAAATGTGCCTGAATGGAATCCAGTGCCAAGAACCAAACAAGGTGCTTTTCAGTGAAAAAAGTAGTTTGAAGTAAACCTAGCTTTGAATTAACTATAATAGGCAGTTTATATTTTAATAATTTCAATTTTTATTTAAAGGCTCAGTTTTCATACTTTTAGGTACAACTTTGCTAGGAAATGATATTAAATAATGTGAATTTCACCACTATAAACTTTTAAAAAAAATGACTGGATAAACAAAATGTTTTTATATATCTTTAAAAATTAATTCTATAATGTGTTATTTGCAGAGATTACTTCCCTAAAAGGAATTTACATTCCAAAAAAGAAATTACATGAATACAGCATAAATATTTATTTATTTATTTATTTATTTATTTTTGGTACTGGAAATTGAACTCAGGACCTTGCGCTTGTCAGGCAGGCGCTTGTGCTGCTGAGCTATATTTCTGGCCCTCCAGCATAAATATTTAAAACAATTCATTTTTGTTATTATTGCTAGGAAACAATTTAGAAATTTAGAATAATTTTCTAAAATTAGGCAAAATGAGATATGGATATCTGGAGGGGTAAATTCTAAGCTTTCTATTTGCTCTTTAGATGTTGTGTAGTAGTTTAAAAAACAGTATTTATTTTCAGAAACCCTGGGAATTGATACCAGGGCTTCACATTGAGTTATATCCTCAGCCGTTTCTCCCTGTTTTGGTTTTTTAAGACAGGGTCTCGCTGTGTAACTGAGGGTGTTCTTTTTTGCGGGGGATGTATCAGGAATCAAACTCAGGACCTTGCACTTGCCAGGCAGGCGCTTGTGCCACTGAGCTATATCCCTGGTCCAGTGTGCTCTTGAATTCACTATGTGGCCCAAGCTAACCTCAAACTCTTGGTGATCCTCCTGCCTCCTGAGTGCCAGGATTATAGGTATGTGCCACCATGTCTGGCTTCAACTCAGCCCTTTTTTATTTTTTATTTTGAGACAGGGTCTCACTAAGTTGTCTTGAGCTTGTGAGCTTCCTGCCTCAGCCTCTTAAATGTTAGGTGCGCATAACTGCACAAGGCTCCTGAAGTGACATTTAAAAACAAATTTTAGGTAGGCATGGAGTGCATGCCTATAGTTCCACCTACTTGGTACATGTGGGCAGAAATATTACAAGTTTGATGCCAGTCTATTCTACTTAGTGAAATACTGTCAAAATAAATAGGATCCGGGATGTAGAATATCCCTTGGTTCTATCTCAAGTATGAGGGAGGGAGAGAGGTAAGGAGACAGAGACAGAAAGAAAGGAAATATGTGTGTATGCATGGTAAGTATGCGTGTAACTCAGTGGTAGAGTACTTGCCTGGAATGTGCAGTGCCGTAGGTTTGGTCCCCAACAAAATAAAGCAAAGCAAATGCTTTGAAAATCTGTAAAAGTCTGCATTGTAAGTGAAAATTAATTAATTTTTAAATGTTAATTGGATTTATTTTTGATTCTCTAATCTGGCAACATAAGATCACTTATATAGTACGTAGTATGATTGATTTCAAAGGATAAAATTATAAGTTTAGCTTAAATATCCTATTAGGCTTTATTTTTAATTGTAGAAACAGCACTCCATCCAAAAGATAGACTAAATGTTCCCCAAGTGAAAATTTAATATGGTACATTTAGATACATTGTCAAGTCACTTGGATGGTATCACTTTTAGCGTGAATCTTAGCTTACCTAAAATTTTTTGCTTTTATTTGCAGTACCTGTTATTTTGTTGTGTATAACCAGGTGGAGTTATAACTTGTTTTAGAAAAGAACCTTTTCCAGCCATTATCCCATCTTATTTTGGCATAGAGAGGCACTACAACTCAGATTGTTAAAAGACAAAAATAAGAACAAAACTGAGTTAGCTATATTAGCATTAAAGTTTATAATAAGTGAGATATCTTGTGATCACTAGAAAACTTAAAATATTCCTGAATTCCCTTTAATCTAAGTTAAGCAATCATACTTTAATTTTCAGGTAAATTGCATGCAAATGCCAGCTAAATAAACTGTTACGCTAGTGAATAATTACAATATATTTTAACATTTATTGTCTAACCTTTTATCGGTATTTTTAGGTGTTGAATGGACATATAATTTCAGCAATTTATCATGAGATTGCAGTTTGTGTAGAATATGGGTGAATATATAATTACAACAATTTATCATGAGATTATAATTTGCTTAGGGTGTGGGAAGTGAGTTCTGTTGAGTGGATAGCTGGTTTGTGTGCTAGATGTATCTCAGGTATACTGAGAGATGATGTTATTGGCCTTATTCATGAATACATTCCATTGATTGTTTTGCAACTTAGTAGATGTTTTTAAACTCTTCAACAGTCAATGGAAAGCCAGGCATGGTGGTGCACATTTGTAATCCCAGCACTCAGGAGGCTGAGGCTGGAGGATTGCTGTGAATTCAAGGCCAGCCTGAACTACATAGCAGGACCATGTCTCAGAAAACAAACAAAAAAAAGTCAGTGGAAGGTGTATGATATTTATATGTATTTCAACGTGAAGATGCATTTCTTCACCTAACATACTCTCATACATGAAAACAGTTACCCACTAACATTCTGATGCTTGTGGAAGGAGAGTTAGTAATGAAGAAAGGATTATACATAAATGGATAGTTTCTCTACATCTTCCATTTTTATTTTTCTTAAATATTACCTCCACAGTGCAAGTAATGATATGCTATTTTCTTTCATTTTTACACTTTGGCTATACAGTCAAATTAATATTTTTAAACCTTATTTAGAACCTACTTCAGAAAGTTCTATGGAAGATTCCTCTACCACAGATCGATTGAATTTTGACAGATTTGATATATGTAGATTGTTACAACATGGTGCATCACTTTTGGGGTCTGCCGGTGCAGAATTTGAAGTCCAAGATGAAAAATCAGGTATGTAGTAACCTGTAGAAGAAAGTTTGAAATTTGTTTTCTCAAACTAGTTTGTCACTTCAAGTGCTGTTTAATAGCCATGGTAATCTAACATGTCAGCCGGGTGTGGTGGCGCACACGTGTAATCCCAGCACTTGGGAGGCTGAGGCAGGAGGATCATTTTGAGTTCGAGACCAGCCTGGGCTACAAAGTGAGCTCAAGGCCAGCCTGAACTGCATAGCGAGACCCTGTCTCAAAAAGACAAAAAAAAATTTGTGACATGTCCTGAAATATAAATTGACTGATACTTAAAGATAGAGGGAAAATGGTATGGATGGGGAAGGTAACCAGTAGTATTTGTTCTAAAGCTATAGTTTTTTTAAACTATAACTGAATATATACTGTAATCATTAGTTGTACATATTAATATTTCAACAGTAATTTTGCTAGCTAACAGAACCTCAGTGTAATATCAAAATCAGAATTAGTGGAGATTGTGGCAATGTTTTCACAATTCTGGGAATTTGAGTGGTCATATGATTGTTATATTGTATTTATTTACTTTTTTTTTTACTTTCTTCCTTTGGCTGTGTTGGGGCTGGAACCAGAGCTTCATGCACGCTAGGCAGGTGCTCTGCCACTAAGCTGTACTCCAGCCACATGATTGTTATATTTTTATCTGTTTCTAGTATTGTTGGCTCTACTCAGGTTTGTGTCCAAAGTAAGAATTACTGTAAGAGGTGATTGAAATATATAGTGAATATTTAAATTCTAAAAATGTACTTACTACAGTAAAAGACATACTGTCATTAATCTGAAAATGCTCTACTGGGCTTCAGATGTACTTATCCCATCATTCTTATACTTTCTAAAACATTTCTACAAGTTCTCTTTTGCGATAACTTTATGAGGTATGATAAAAATTGTGATTATTACTGCTGAATGCCATCATAGAAAGGCAGGCCTATAAAAACATTTTAGTGTGTCCTTACCCACCTTATTCATTGGGTCTCACACTGTGCAACTTCTGATTCTCTCAAGGTCAAAATGACTATGAAAGGTAAATGTTTTAAATTATTGCAGATATCAGATCTTGAGGTAATCAAGAGAGAATGACTAGACATGTAAAAGGGCTTCCAGCTATGGAGAGCTCTACAAAATAGTATTTAAAAGAAAAGCTCTATAGGTGAGTTCTTTTAAACTCAGTGTTTTAGTGCTGGTAAGTCACCGTGTTGAATGGTGCTCATTAAAAACTTTGTAGTTAGGTTTTCTTTAAACGTCTGCTAATACATTTTCATCTCCTCATATATGAATAAACATACATAATTAGTGTAAGTGCTGGTTTGGGTTTGCTTTGCAGTAAGCCGTGTAGAGTATTTTCCCCAAAATGGGAGGACCAGTTCGGACTGTGTGTAAAATGTGTTGGAATTGTATTCCAGTAGCTTTCATCCTTTGTGTTTGTATGTTTGTTTGTTTGTTTTTTTGAGACACTCTTTAGTCCAGGCTGGCTTTGAGTTCCTGGTGATCCTCCTGCCTCACCCTCTTGAGTGCTGGAATTACAGATGTGCGCCACCACACCCAGCATCATTATTTTTTAAAAAATAATTTTTATTACTTTATGAGACATTAGGTTTTTAAAAAATTGTGGTAAAATATGTATACATATTTTTATTATAGTTAAAATTTACCATTTTAACTTTTTAAGCATATAGTTCATTGTCAAGTACATTCATATTGTTGTAGAGGTAATCTTCAGAAGGCTTTTTGTCTTGCAAAACTGAAGCAGTATACTCATTAAATGTCATTACCCTATCCCCCTTCCTCCAGCCTTTGGCAACTACTATTTTACTTTTTGTCTCAGAATTTGTCTCAGAATTTGACTTTTTCCTTCTTTCTTTTTTCCTTTCTTTCTTTCTTTTTTTTCTTTTGAGGCAGGGTCTCACAATGTAGCTCAGGCTGGCCTTGAGTTCACTATGTAGCCTAGGCTGGCTCCAAACTCTCCATGTTCCTCCTGCCTCAGCCTCCTAAGTGCTGGGATTACAGGTATGCATCACCATGCCTGGCAACTTTTTTTTTTTAAGGGATCTTTATACCCTCTGACTCTCTAGGTGTACTAATTTGACTGCTGTAGATACCTCATACAAGTGGAATTAGTCTTCCTGCCTGTGACTGGCTTATTTTACTTGGCATAATGCTAACTTTATGCAGGTTGTAATATATGGCAGAATTTCTGTCCTTTTAGAGGTCGAATAACATTCCATGTATGTATTTTTCATATTTTGTTTATCTTTTCATCCATCAGTAGATATTTGGGTTGATTCCACATTTTGATGATAGTGAATAATGCTGTTGTGAACAGTAATGTACAAATACCTGTTGGAATTTCTGCTTTCAGTTATTTTGCATATATACCAAAAGAGGTTTGCTGATGAGACCCTTAAAAATTTAATTTTTGAAGTTTTTGTGGATTATTATTATCCACAAGCCTGAAATTATCCACAGCAGCTGAACTATTTTTTACTCCTACCAGCAGTGCCCAAGGAGATTCCAGTTTCTCTGCTTCCTTGCCAGTTTTATTTTTTGTGCTGGGAATTGAACACAGGGCCTCATACATGCTAGGCAAGCACTGTACTACTGAGGTACACCCAAGCCCCTTAGTTTCTATTTTTTGTGGTTTTTTTTTTTGTTTTTTTTGTTTTTTTTGTTTTTTTTTGGTTTTTCTCCGGTACCGGGAACCGAACTCACAACCTTGCGCTTGCCAGGCAGGCGCTTTTGCCGCTGAGCTAAATCCCCAGCCCCTAGTTTCTATTTTTTGATAGTAGTCATTGTAATAGGTGTGAGGTGGCCTTATTTTATTGCTGAATAATATTTCATTGTACGGACAGTACATTTTGTTGCTGCACATTTGGATTGTTTCTCGTTTTTGATGATTAAGACTATAAGATACTACAACTATTTGTGAACCACTTTTCATGTGGACATATGTTTTCATTTCTGCTAGGAGTAGAATTGCTGGGTCATATAGCAACTATATTTGACCTTTTGAGAAACTACCAAATTTCCAAAGTGACTCCACCATTTTACATTCTACTAGCAGTATATGAGACTTCTAGTTTTCTACATTCTTGTCAGCGTTTATTATCTGATTTTTTTATTATGGCTGTAGTCGTGAGTGTGAAGTCATATTTCATTGTGATTTTTAAGTTTGCATTTCCGTAACAAAGATGTTGAATATCTTTTCATGTGTTCAGTGACCATTTCTATATCTTCTTTAGAGAAATACCTATTTAGATCCTTTCCTTGTTTGTTTGCTTGTTTCCCCTACTAATAAAATCAAACCCAGGGGCACTCTACAACTGAGCTGTATTTTTTAATTTTTTAATTTTGAAATTGGGTCTCAGTAAGTTGTCCAAATGGGACTCAAACTTGTGATTCCTCCTGCCACAGTACTGGAATTATAAGCATGTGCCTGCCCTTACCGTCCTTGCCCATTTTTAAATTGGTTATTCTTCCTTATCAGATATGTGATCTATATACATATTTTGCTGTTTAGAGAACTGACTTTTCATTTTCTTGACAGTGTTCTTTGAAGCACAGAAGTCTGATTTTGATGAAGTCCAATTAACTTTTTTTTCAGGCTTTTCTGATGAAGTCCATTTATCTATTTTTCTTTTGTTTTCAACCTTCTGGTGTTACATATGAGAAGTCATTGCCAAATTTAAAAACATTACTGATATGTTTTCTTTTCTTTCTTTTTTTTTTTTTGTCTTCTTGAGACAGGGTCTCGCTATGCATTTTAAGCTGGCCTTGAGCTCACTTTGTAGCCCAGGCTAGTCTCGAATTTGCAACGGTCCTGCTACCTCAGCCTCCTGAGTGCTGGGATTACAGGCTGATACGTTTTCTTCTAACAGTTTTAAAACTTTAGCTCTGTTAGGTCTTTGATCCATTCATTGTGAGTTAATATTTGTTTATTTTGTGTTTGAGTCCAACTTCATTCTTTAATATATGGGTATCCTGTTGTCCCAACACCATTTGCTGAAAATACTTTCTCCTATTGAATCATCTTAGAACTCTGTTGAAAATCAGTTAACCATCAATGTATAAGTTTATTTCTGGGCTGTCAGTTTTATTTTATATCTCTCCTTATGGTAGTACCATACTGTTTTGATTACAGTAGCATTTTAATAAGTTTTGAAATCAAGAAGTTTGAACCTTCCATTTTATTGTTATTTTGTAAGATTTTGGCTCTTTTGGATCTTGAATTTCTATATGAATTTTAGGATGGATCATTAGTTTGTATTGTTAAGTATGTTTATCTTACATTAAGCTATTAAGCCCATCCAGTGATTATTAAAATTTTTTTTCAGATGTTGTGTTTTTTTTTTTAGTTATAGAACTTTAAAAAAATAGTTCTTTTGGTATGTTTTGCATATCATGTTTACCCTTTTCAAATGTATACCTCTATTGGTTTCCTTTTTTTATGGTTTTGTTTCTCTACCAAGGTACATCCTACCTTTCATTCATTATGATAGTATCTTCCTTACATTGAATATTGTTATATTAACTGCTTTAAAATCTAACATCTATGTCATGGCAGAGTTGGTTTCATTAATTGCCTTTCTTTTGAGAATGGGTTACATTTTATTGTTTCATTGTAAAGTATGGATTGCATCCTGTATATTATGAATGTGAAAACTTGACTCTGTTATATTCTTCTAAAGATTGTCACTGTTTCTGCTTGCTTGTGTTAGTAGGCATTTAATTTGACAGAAATGGCTCAGAAGTGCGAGTACAATCTTCTGTGCAATGAAGGACAGTTCACATCTCAATTTTAGCTTTTAGTTTTAGCTGTACTTGTTGGAATCTGTGCTGTGCGTGTGTGTAGTTTGTATAAGCCGGAGATTTGGGCTGTGCTTATATAGAATTTGGGGCTTCTTCTCTCTGACAGTGTGTTTTCTGCATTTCCCCTTTCTACTTTCTAGTTACTATAGTGGTCCCTAACTTCCTTCTAGATCTTCAAGCCAGAAAGATACTGGTTTTTAATCCAAGTCATAGCTACCCTACATTAAATGGACTGGATCTGCCTTCAGGCTAAAAACTACAAAAAGTAGAAACACCTAGTGCTGTTCTCTTCTTCCAGCTGTTGACAGCTGGCATAAGTGAATACTTACTTTTGTTCCCTTTCCAGTGTTCCTTTAGATACTTTTTTTTTTTTTTTTTTGAGACAGGGTTTCACGATGCAGTTCAGGTAGGCCTTGAACTCACTTTGTAGCCCAGGTGGGCCTTGAACTCACAGCGATCTTTTAGTTTTTTAAAAAATATTTTGACCAGAGTTTGTTATCTGCAGAAGGTTAGTCCAAGAGGAACTTAACCCAGACATTGTTAGAAGTAGATCATTACTGTTTTAAAATTAAATTTTTTTCAGAAATGTAGAGAAACCTTTCTTTTAGCTTAGTTATTTTAAGGCCCATTTATTTATTTATTTGTTTGTTTGTTTGTTTATTTTGAAATAATACCTTTTGGTATGTTTTGTTGTTTTAACTTGAAGAACTGAGAGGTTTTACTTGACATTCAAAATCTGCCTACTTTTATTTCTTAATCTTTGTGTTTTGTGCTGGTAGGGCTATCTCATCCTAGAACGCATCATAGAAGCTACACTTGGAATAAGCCTTTAGGGTTGATCTTTTTGTTGAAAAAAATCTAGATTTGTAGCCTAATAAGATTTCTCAGGTATAAAGTATAACTATGAAATTAGATTAATTTATTTCTGTAGAAATGAATTTATTATTATTATATATTTGATAGTTGGCATTGGAGCAATGGTAGAATCTCAGTGAAAACTCCTATAATGTTTTTGTTAGTTAGAACACTATTTTCCAATCATAATTAGACAGTAGTTTATGGAAGGTTGAGATTGTTATGAGTTTGGTTTGTTCTGTTGGCAGAAGGGGTCTTCTTATACTTTATTATATTTTGCTGGCATCTGATCTGCACATAGAAAATTTTTGAGCTGATTTGGAGAAAAAGTATTCTTTCTCTTTTTAAAGGTGAAGTGGATCCTAAAGAAAGGATAGCACGCCAACGAAAACTATTACAGAAAAAACTTGGCCTTAATATGGGAGAAGCAATTGGAATGAGTACTGAAGAACTCTTCAACGATGAAGATTTGGATTATACCCCAACTTCAGCAGCCCTTGTAAACAAACAACCTGTAGGTAAAAAATTTGCTTGGTTGATTGCAAGTAGCAGCACAAAGGGTTTGCTTCATTGTAATGTTTAAAAAATACTTCTGCTGTTTATTGCCACTGTAACTTAGTTTCTTCATTAACTGAAATTTTTTTTATTTCTTATTTTCAGGGTTTTTTTATTAGTACATGTTTGTAGTACACAGTGATTACATTCTTCATGAGGAGTTAATACATGTACATAACATATCCTGATTCTTCTTTCATCTCCTTTTCCTTCTCTCTCTCCCTCCCTTCATCTGTTGGTCTCCTCTTTTATAAAAGATCTTTCTACCTTTTAACTGATTATTTTTGACTGATTTGATAGAAGTAGAAGCTCACCCTGCTTCCTAGAAATGGACTGCTATGTAAAATCTGTGGTGGACTTTTCAGGAGCCACTGGTATTGAAAGATCTTAGTTCTACTTGCTCGTTCCTTTGTTAATTCTGGAGGGCAAAAATAATACTTCGGGTGAATGTGCAATAGTTAGGGTTATCCTACTCAGGCATGATGATAGTAGAAGGCTTTAAAGTGCTGATTCATTTCTTGAAATTGAGAAACATGATCAAAAAATACTTTTAAACACTAAAAAGGGGTATATAATATGAAGTAAAAAGTTTATTGTTGACAGTTGATGAGCATACATGTTTCTGTGCCCGAGAAGCAACACTTTTTAAGTTACATGCACAAGTGTATGTGTCTGTGTGTATATATATGTGTCCACTTAAGCCATGATTACCTTTCCCCACGTATACAGCTCAGTATATCAGCATATACAGATTTAACCACATTCTTCTCCTCTCCGCCCCTGTACCGGAAATCGGACTCAGGACCTCGCACTTGCCAGACAGATGCTGTGCTACTGAGTTATATCCCTGGTCCCCCACATTTTTTTTGACAGTTTCATTCTGTTTTATTTTATGACTGTACCATAACTTCACTTTCTCTTCCTCTTTTTCTGTTGTTTCAATTCCCAGTGGATGCACATGTGCTGCTGCTTCTGCTTTTCTTTTTCCTCTCTTTGGTCTTCCTATTTTAATGTCATAGACTGTGTTGAAGTTATAGTAACTACTGTGGCTCTCCTCACGTACAAATGATGTATTACATTTCAATGGGTCCAGTACTTTTCCCTGCCATCCGGTATTCTTTAGGGCCCTTTAGGCTCTGTTAAGAATTCTTAGGAGCCAAGTGTGGTGGTGCACACCTGTAATCCCAGCAACTGGGAGGCTGAGGTTGGGGCAGGAGGATTGCCATTAGTTGTAGGGCAGCTTGAAAAGCATAGTGAGCTCAAAGTCAGCGTGAATACATAGCAAGACTCTGTCTTAAAAAAAACTTCTTAATTATCTTGTCATTCCCATGTCTTTACCCTTTAGTTCAGTGGACAATAGTTCTGTTTGCCCTTTGTGCTAGTTGTCCTCTAAACCATCAGAATTTTAAAGTATGTGTTTTAGGGCTAAGGTGTATAAAAGTTCATGATGATGAACTTTTGCAGAGAAGAAAAAAAATGGCAGATACTGATGAGGAAAAGGAGGAAGTATAAACAGGCAGAAATATGGTAACCAGAAAGAAATAGAAGGAAATAAGGTAGAAAAGGGAAACATAAGAAGGAACTAAAAAGGTAAAGAGGAATATTGGATAAAATAAAGGATATATTGATATGATAATATAATGAAAAATTGAACATAGTATAATAAAAGGAAAGGGTAGCTATATTAGAGCAAGTGGGCTATAAACATAAGAACAGTTGCATAAGGGATGGACAATGTCATTTTCAGGTTTGCTGGATTCAGGTTTGGTTGGCCTTATACATCACGGACCCTTAGGGGAAGTTACTTAGGTTAGTTGTTGCTGTAGGGCCATTATAGCTGCATTTGCTTATACACTGCATATGCCTGTGGTTTCGGGACCTTACAGGTTATAGAAGTGTAAGTTCCAGTTGAATCTTCGTTTGTTTGTGGTTTTCTGTCTTTTGAATGAATTTTATTAAAATAGATTTTTCTGGCCATACAGTTCACCCATGTTAAAATGTGCAGTCAATGACTTTTGAATAAGTTTGCTGATTTGTGCAATTATCAACATAACCAGTTTGGGAATAATTTCAAGGTCTTGATGAAGTTCTCTCCTCCTCTTTCCCACTTTCAGCCCCTGTTAACCTTTCTTCTGTTTTCTCTCGGTGTAGATTTGCATTTTTTTGGACTCAGACTAGCAGATCAGAAATATCACCAATGGAGGTGACAGAAGCTTTTGTCCTTGCACAAACCTCGTCCCTCATGGCAGGTGACACCACCTACCCTGGGGACTTGGAGCCAGTGACACAGGGCAGAAGTCTTCTTTGGTTGATGCAGATGGAGCACGCATTGTGTGTTGGCAACCTGTTTCGCAGGCTTTAGTTGAATCTTATAGTTGGGCAGAGAAGGGCTTTTTTAGGGGCACAGATAAATAATTTCTATCATGTAATCCTTTTTTTGGGGAGGGGGGTTAAGATAGGAGTCTCTCTCAGTTGCCCCAGACTAAACTTCTGGATTCACTTGATCCTTTTGCCTCAGCCTCCCATGTAGCTGGGGAATGCCAATTCTGGCCTGTCATACAGTCTGTTTTCTTCCATGAATATAAGAGAAAGCAGAAGAAGTAGGTAGCAAAAAGGAGAGGAGAATGTGGGCTAAATTGACTGTCAGATATCAGTTTCTTAAAGGCTTTTTTTTTCCAGCTTATGATGCTAATTAGTTCTTTTATTGACACTCTTTATCCTCATAACTTTTAGGTTTTATTGTGATTATTTTGAGGTCTCATCAGTGCTCTGCCTGTGTTAGGATCATTCATTTGTGCCATATCTGGCCTTAAAAGTTAAGAAATATGGGAATATTTGTTGGGAATTAGGTGGATGAGAAAGAAAAAGGAAGGGTGTGAAATTATGATATGGGCATACAATAGAAGACGTGAGACTGTCAAGAAAGAATGTGATTGTGTTGAGGATATAGCTCAACAGCACAAGCACCTGCCTAGCAAGGTCCTGTGTTCAACTCCCGATACCACATACACAAAAAAAGAATGTGATTAATCTGTATATACTGAAAGTTATAGACTCATTTCTCTACTAAGGCTGAGACTATAGGTGTTTGTGTTAACTTAAAATTCAGCATTCCTTTACTCTTTCAGACTCTCCAGGCTGCTGAATTGATTGACTCAGAATTTCGAGCAGGAATGAGCAACAGACAAAAGAACAAAGCTAAAAGAATGGCCAAGTTATTTGCAAAACAGAGATCCAGGGATACAGTGGAAACTAATGAGAAAAGGTAATGTGTTTCCTTCTTTATTTAACAGTGCTATATAGAATAAATCTGCGGGATTTTTAGAAAACACTTTGCTCACTTTTATTTACCTTGGTAATACTGTTTTGATTGTCTTGTTCAGTTGGCAGAGTATTTACTGTTACTAGAGACTAGGACACTTTGCCAAAAAAATCCACATGAACAGATTTTTTTTTCCTTACTAATTAACAGTTGCAAATGAGGACTGACGATCTACAAGGTGAGAGCATTACAGGCAGAGGGACAAGTGTAAATGCCTAGTCATGGAGTAGTCAAGAAACAAAAGGGTAATATAGACGTGGAAGGGAGAGTAGTAGAGAATAAATTCAGAGTGGTAGTCTGAGGATCAAAAGTGATGAATACTGCATTAATAAAGTGAGGAGTATTGTCAGGATATTGCCTTACCCATTCCATAGGCTGGGCCTGTGTTAAGTGGCAGCAGTAATCCAGTTTGCTTACTTAATCTTACTATATAAAAGAATTCTATAGTAATGAGTTAATGAAAAGTGTTATCTGTACATGACTTGGACTAGCAGTTCTCAGTTCAGAATGACTTTCTTCAGGTGCTCTTTGAGGGGCTTGTTAGGCCACCATTCATATTTGTTAAATCAGAATCTTGAGTGATGTTCAAGAAATATTTGAGTAAATAATAAGTCAACAAACATTGGAAAACCTGCAGCATTAAGGCTTAGTTGTGGAAGATATAAAGCTAAAAACTGTTCATAGCATTTGCTTAAGAGGTGGGCACAGGGCTGGGGATATAGCTCAGAAGTAAAGCATTTTCCTCATATGTACAAAGCCCTGGGTTCAATTCCCAACACTGGAGAAAAAAAGGAAAAAGCTAGACATAAAAGGAGATGAATAATGAACATCTTGGTAGAAATTTGTGCTAGAGATTATTTCTTTAAAGTATAAACTCCCAGGTTGGGTGTGCTGCTACATACCTATAATCCCAGCACTTGGGAGGCCACAACAGGAGGGATCCCTGCAAGTTCGAGGCCTGGGCTGTATAGTGAGTTTAAGGCCAAGCCTGAACTGCACAGTGAAACTCTGTCTGAAAAACAAAATAAAAAATGTGTAAACTCTTTATTGAACTTTTTAATGACAGGGTCCCTCCTCTTTTACTCCTCCCCACCCTCATACTAGCAGTTGAACCCAGTGCCTTGCATGTGATCCCAGGAGCACTGAGCTACATCCTGAGGTTTTTTAAATTTTATTTTTGAGACAGGGTCAGTTTTGATTTAAATTATTGAACTAAGGGTGTTTACATTTTAAAAGTAGGGGAGCTGGTTGCAAAGAGGGGAAATAAAAATGATCTGTTAGATTTGAGATCCCACTTTCAGTGAAAAGGAACATTCACTGACCCATTGAGCAGTATGATATAGTTTGTTCAACAAAGTTAAACAGTTAATTTGATACATGAGATTTTAAATAAACCACATAAATAGAATATAGTAAAATATTTGTTCAAATGATGGAATCTCTTACATTCATTGAGGTTCACTGTATTCTTTTTTCACTTTTTAAAATGGTAACCTTTATTTTTTTTTTAGCAATGATAGCATGGACGGAGAGCCAGAAGAAAAGAGACGGAAAATAGCAAATGTTGTTGTTAATCAGACTGCAAATGATTCAAAAGTCTTGCTTGATAATGTTCCAGACAGCTCTTCCTTAATTGAAGAGGTACTATTGAAATGTCCTAAAACTTTCGTTATAATTATTTTTTATTGTCTCAAACGGTTGTTTGATAGAGAATATTGAATAACATGTCAAATGAGAGACATTTTACTATAAATCTTATCTTCTTTAGAGACCATATTTATTAAAAAATTGTAAAGCCTGTTTACTATCAGTAAACCTATCGATAAATATTAATTTACTTGTTACCAGAAAATAGAGCTTTTTGAATTAGTAGGAATTAATCTTTTCTTATGCAGACAAATGAATGGCCTTTGGAGAGTTTTTGTGAAGAACTTTGCAATGACCTTTTTAATCCTTCCTGGGAGGTAAGATATTTTTATTACAGTTTCTTTCTACTGTATTTTTTTGTGCAAATGAAGGAATGTCAATAACTGTAGCAGAAAATGCATCATCCCCCAGCCAGTTCCAGTTGCTTCTGTTTCTTTGGAACAGCTGGTCACTGTGATACATAGTTGGTCACTATAATGCATAATGTTAGGAATCAAACACAGCCAAGTAACTCTGCTTCTGTACTTCCCTTTCAACTCCATAAAAACCTCTGTCCCTGGGCCTTCAGGGCCTGATATTTTAGGGATGATCCCAATCAGTGCCCGTTTGATATAAATAAATCTGCCTCCCTATCCTGGGTTTTGTCTCAGTGCTTCTGTTTTCTGTTACAGAACCGTATACTTTGTTAGTGTCCATAGTCTACACTTGTGTCTTTCTCAGGACTCTGGGTACATCATATCCTTGAATTTCTAAGTAGAAAACTTTAGACTGAATTTTCATCTTTATATCCTTTAAATAATATTCTGAATTGTTCATTTCTTTTCATTCTTATGGCTATAATCTAAAGGCTTGCATTGCTCTCCTACTTAGTACAAAGGCTTCCATTCCTTTGTAAATGGACAATTTTGATTGATTCAGAGAAGTAGTTTCAGGGATTGTGGATATAGCTCATTAGTAGAGCATGTGTTTAGAATGTGCAAGGCCCTGGATTTAATCTCCAGCACCAGAAGGGGGAAGAACGAACAGGGCTTTCCAAAACAGTAGTGTTTTAGCCTCATAAGTACTCCTTCAAAGATCTTGAATAGATCCCAGTATATAAGAGATATGAAAGTGAAACATGTAGGTGAATTTATGGGTGGTAGTCTCAAAACATTTTGTCTTCCTTTTGTTGGTCCTGGGCAATTTTTAAAATAAAACAAAAATGCTTTGGGGCTAAGGATGTAGTTCAGTGAGGACAAATGTGATGCCCTGGGTTTGATTCCTTAGAATTTCCAAAAAGAAGAAAGTTTGGTGGTTTTTTTTTTTTTATTTTAAAGAGAATAAAAAAATAAAGAAAAAACAATACAGAGTTGCAAAACAAGATGATAGGAAATTAACAATGATTGTTATTTGCATATTATTATCTTCAAAGTAGTTGTTCAGATTTCCAGATATAGGCACGTAGAATTAATTAAACAATTAAGCATTCACTGTTCCTTTCAATAAACCAATAGAAATTAGTAATACAATTATCTTAGCTATGGTTGTGTGTGTGTGTGTGTGTATTTTTTTTTCTCCTGCCTTCTTTCTTTTCTCCTTTCCCCTATCTCAGTTGTTCTTTCCTTTTGAGCAGTTTTCTTTCCCTTTCACAATACCTATTGTACCTTTTGGATTTTATTTACTTTCAGTTTCTTACACTAAGGAGACAATACAATGTTTATACATGCGAGTCTGATTTATTTCACTTATGAGTGTGGTGTCTAGTTGCATCCATTTACCTATAAAAGCCTTGAGTTTATCTTTCTTTATAGCTGAGTAATACTTCATTGTGTAAAAATACTGCATCTTTTTTATCCATTCCTCAGTTGATGGGTATTTGGGTTGTTTCGAAGAAAAAGATTTTTTTAAAAACTCTACTTCAGATAAGTCTTCCTAAGCAGCACATCTGTCCCAGCTCCCAATCCCAACCCCATCCCCAACCCCATGGTGCTAGGGTTTGATACAAGGTCTCACACATATTAGGCAAGTTCTCTACCACTGAGATATACCCCAGCCCATATTCCTTGATGTACTTCTGTTTAAAGTTACTCTAGTTTTAGCATAAATGGAGTTTTAAATGACTATGGTTGTTAGTGCCCCCAGGGCTACAGTGAACCATTAATTATGAGATATTTTGTTTAAATTGTCTTCTTTTAGCACTTAACCACTGGTAACTTTGGAGCTTATTTTGTTTTGTTTTGTTTTGTTTTTCTTTGTTTTTGTGGTGGGATTGAACCCAGGGCTTCATCCACGCTAGGCAAGCACTTTATCACTGAGCTATACACTTTTATGTGATCTTTCTTTGTTTTTGATACTAGATCTCACTATATTGTCCAGGTTGGTCTCAAATTCATGTACGCAAGTAATGTCACACAATGGCTGTCCCAGTAACTAAGTGGTACTGCAGGAGAGAGCCACTGTGTCCAGCTTGGCGCTTATTTTTGATGGACATATTTCTAAAATACTGGTGTTTGCGCATGATATTTTCTTTCCCTTGCTGTGGATATTACTAAAATCCAGATAGAGGATATAGGAGTGACATCCAGGTGGATTTATATCTCAGAAGGATTTTAGAATAAGCTCTTTTCTTGCTTGACTTTTAAAATGTTCCACATAACCAAAAAAGTTGTGAAACTAGTATATGTAATTCTTCTTGGATAGTTGAAAAAACACATTCTTTTGAGGTGCTGTGTATTTTAGTTTCTTAAAAAAGTAATATCCCATTTTGTCGTTGAAGAAAATTAAACATGGTTTCTTTAACCATTTAACCTCTGACATTTTGCATAGGTTCGACATGGTGCAGGCACTGGACTTAGGGAAATTCTTAAAGCTCATGGGAAAAGTGGTGGTAAAATGGGAGACAGCACTTTAGAAGAGGTGAGTGTATTACAGCTATGGTTATTGCCAATTTGTGGTCATTGACTTTTTTTTACTAATATAAGAAAGAATAAGAGTATGTCCCATAAAGTAAGAGAGTAAATGAGTAGGAGAAATATAAAGAGGTGAAAGAGCTATAGGAAGGAATAGACCTAAAGAGAGAGGGAGAATGAATGCAGGAAAAAGATATATTCAGAAACATTGAGTGGAAAAACATGCAGAAGCAAATCACTTGAGCAAGGTAAAATGGATTGGAAAGTAGAGTAAGGTAAATAAGAAACTAGTGGAGAGGTCATTGAGCAACATGATTGCTGTAGCAAGAAACACAATGGGATAGTAGATATGTGACAGATATACTTGATATCAGAGTGACATGAAGTATGACTTAGAGTCTAAGTAACAGAGTCTATGAATTTAAGAATTTGGATGTGGTGAGCTGGGCATGGTGGCACACACCTATAATCTCAGCACTTGAAAGGCTGAGACAGGAGGATCATCACAAGTTCAAGACCAGCCTGGGCTACAAAGTGAGCTCGAGGCCAGCCTGAACTGCATAGCAAGACCCTGTCTCAAAAAGACAAAAAAAAGTTTGATTGTGTTATATCTGAATCATATTAATCATTAAAGAGGATATGGTCACTTTTAAAGATAGTAATTGAAACTATTCTTTTGGTTATTGTTCACTCAGCTAAAATAATCTGTCCCATTATTAGATTTGTTATTTTGTACCCATGGCATCCCCACCAGACCCAAGTATAAAGTATGATCTTTGTTATTAAAAATAATTATGTTTTAATAGATGATTCAGCAGCATCAAGAGTGGTTGGAAGACTTAGTTATTAGACTGCTTTGTGTTTTTGCATTGGACAGATTTGGAGACTTTGTTTCTGATGAAGTAAGTGTAACCCAAGTGAAAAATTCCCCAGTTAAACAGATTCTACAAAATAAATATTTTGCAAATGTGACTTTCTTTCTCATCTATAGGTTGTAGCTCCTGTTCGAGAAACTTGTGCTCAAACATTAGGTGTGGTATTAAAACACATGAATGAAACAGGAGTTCATAAGACTGTGGATGTGTTGCTAAAATTACTTACACAAGAGCAATGGGAAGTCAGACATGGTGGTCTTCTGGGAATAAAATATGCTTTGGCAGTTCGTCAGGTAAATACTTCAATTTTTGAAGCATGTATGGAAGGGTTTTTTCATCTTAGTTTATTTTCTTTGGTTATACAAAATGACCCTGGATTCTTAATGTTGCAGATAGACTAGTCCCTCAAAGACTGCTTTTTTGAGACGTGTCATAGAGATGGGTGGTACTCTTAGGAATTTAGGTACAAATCAGGATATGGTTAGTTACACTGTTTGCTTCTTTAAAACTAAGGACTACTTTTCCTGTCTGATCCATTGCTGCAGCTACCGTACATCTCATAATTTGGTTGAACTCAGTTAAATATTGAGTATATACTCTGGGGTCCATAAGGCTCTGTTCTAAGTTGTGCAGGCTCCACATAGCAGAAATAAACATGAAACCTACCTCAGGAAACTTACAGTAAGTGTAAAAGCAAAGTCATGTACATTTCTCATCACCTATCAATATTTTCTTCTTTAATTTATAACAAGCCTTAAAGAAAATACAGGTAATTTTACCATTTTCAGGGAAAACAAGTTCTGAAAAGTTAGATGACTTTTACAAGGTTATAAAAGTACTTAGGATTAGTACCAGAAGTTGAACTAGATGGCATGTTTTATAGTTAAAACATTGATGATGCTGCTTTTTATGTTATGGCTAGGAATTGATACACCAAATCCTGTTTCATTTATGAAATATCCAAAGTATCTTACTAAGCTAACAATGCTATATAATCTATATACAGGTATAACATTATTTTTGTGGGAAAATTGGTTCAGAATTCCAACATAAAATGCCATAAAGCATCCCCTTTCCTCTTTTCCCTACTTCCCAACAGGTTTTAGTGACAGAATTAGGAACTTTAATGAGCAGTGGCTATTACCCTGGCAGTAATGGTGCCAACAGAATGTATGTGTTGAGGGAAAAGAAGTGAAAGAGAAAGGGACATTATGAATGAAATGCTGTAGAGAAACCAGGAATTGATGTTTTCTTATTAGTTTAATTTTCTGGAATAAGTCTCAGATTGGGCCAGCATTGTCAGGCGCTTAGAGATTGGACTGTTTCACTTGCCGTTATGACTACTTGATACTTTGGATGAGCTTTTCTTGTCTTTATGTGCTCACTACATAATAAAACCTCCCTTTCTATCTCTAAAGGCAAGTTCACAGCCTTTTTTGTTTTATTTTGTTTTTTGTCTTTTTGAGACAGGGTCTCGCTCTGCAGTTCAGGCTGAACTTGAGCTCACTTTGTAGCCCAGGCTGGCCTCAAACTCAGGGCAGTCCTTCTGCCTCTGCCTCCCAAGTGCTAGGATTATAGGCATGCACTACCACACCTGGCTACACAACTTGTTTTCTATGTTGTACTATCTAGCCTCTGTAGAAAACAGTAGCATTCCATGCAAATGGAAAGTATTACGTGCAGTAGTTTATGAAAAGCTATCCCTATTTCATAACAAGACCAATTCTTAGTGAGATTCCTAATATATGGACCACAGGAATAGCCTTTGGGGTTGATCATATTGGGGAAATAAAAAGATTATATTAGAATAGTAAGAGGCAGGAGGTGATGGTTTTTTAGCTCATACCTCCTTGGTTGTCAGTGGTTTTGGTAAGAAATATGTATGTGAGTTCACAGAGATAAATTCATAGTTTTGCCTAGGAAACATGTTATGATATGTAAGTCATATCCACTAATAAAGTACTTGATGGTATTACAGTCTTTTTAAGTGGGCTTGTGTAGGCTTCTACTGTTGTTATTTTTGTTTTCTGTTTATGTGATTCTTTTTAAATATATAAATATTGGCATTTATGCTTTTACTTCATATAATTTAGTAGAAATTTTTAAGTATAATAATTTTACTATAGCAAATTAATCTGTTTTGATATACTTTTTTACAGGATGTAATTAATACTTTATTACCCAAAGTTTTGACTAGAATAATTGAAGGACTCCAGGATCTTGACGATGATGTTAGAGCTGTCGCTGCAGCTTCATTAGTGCCTGTAGTAGAAAGCCTTGTCTATCTGCAGACACAAAAGGTAAACTAAATCTTCTTGGGTCTTCTTCCTGTGAACATGTTTACATTTGGAATATGGAATATTAGGAAAACTTGGAGTACTTTTTTTTTCTTCATCCTCAGTTTTCTTGTGACAGGCATTCCTCTGATGTACACAATCTTTTTGTTGTTTTTATTCTATTTTTCTCTTATGGTACTAGGGATTGAACCCAGGGCCTTCACACTGGGCTACATCCCGAGCCCTTTTTAAATGCTTTTTTATCTTGAGATGTTCTGCATCACTAAATTGCCCAGGCTGGGCTGGAGCTTGCAGTCCATCTGCTTCAGTCTCCCAAACTGCTGGGATTACAGATATGTGATCCATGCCCAGCCATGCCCACCATGCCCAGCCTGATGCATGTAATGGTGATTATATATTGTCTTTGGGAAGAGCAAATTGTATCTATTTCTTTTTGTGTGCATGATATACGAAAAACTTCTGTGAGAAGAAAGCAGCCATTTCTTCTTTAAATTACGATTGAATGACTGATTGATTTTTGTGACAGTGTCTCACTCTAGTTCAGGCTGCCTTGAACTCACTATGTAGCCCAGGCTGGCCTCAAACTCCTGGTGATCTTCCTGCCTCAGTCTTCTGAGTGCTGAGATTACAGACATGCACTACCATGCCTGACAGTACTTTTTATTTTTAGAGGTGAGAGTTTTGCTTATTTTGATTTTAGTTTTTGGCTTTTTAATCTGTTTTAACTTTTTTTCTTGTTTTTTTTTTGCAGTACTGGGGATCGAACTCAGGACTTTGTGCTTGCCAGGCAGGCACTTGTGCCACTGAGCTAAATCCACAGCCCTGTTTTAACTTTCTGAGGTGGCTGTTCTAATTATGTAGCTGACATTCCATTTTATTACTCCAGAACACAAAGTGAAAAGTACAACCAGTATAATTTTATAAGCTCAAGAACTAAATTTATCTTTTCACTAATGGTTAATACTATTTACAAAAGCACTAAAATCGCTTTACATAGAGGATCATGCCTTATATCTCTATATAGTGTTGTTTTCAGAGTTATATATAATAGAATACTGTCTGCTTTATTTTCTCTCTTTTTTCTGCTTAATAAGAATCTGTTTAGGAAGGAAAGTGCCAAAGTAGAGTTAAATGGTACT